GGTAGCTCAAGGCAACCTTGAATCGGTAGACCATGCGAAATGGGAGACATCCATAGTGACCCCTGTGAAACCCGATGGGTCAATCAAAATCTGTGTGGAGACTATAAGAGTACCCTCAACCAGGCCCTGCAACAAAGTGCATATCCGATGCCAGTAGTCCAGCACCTGTTACATTCATTGGGCTGGGGCAGAATTTTTGCTAAGTTGGACCTAGCACAAGCATATCAATTGCCTGCGGACGCAGCCACCGCTGAAGCCCAAAGAAAGAAAGAAACAAAGAAACTATAGCCAAATAGACAAGGAAATCCTCGCTGCCGTAGCCGGGGTTAAATGTTTTCATGAATACCTATACGGCAGACACTTTAAATTGATCGCTGACTACAAGCCACTACTAGGCATCTTTTCAGGGGACAAACCCACACCAAACATTTTATCGCTGAGAATGCTAAGATGGACAGTTTTCCTGGCAGCGTATAACTACCGTCTGCTGCACATATCTGGAAAAAGCAATTCCCATGCCGATGCCCCCTACCAGATCTAGTGAAAGACCCTGCTCTCGTGCCTACCGTATTCCTTGTAGAATGTTTCAAATCAAATTTGGTGACAGCGGTGGATATCGCGAGATTCACCGCAAAAGACAAAACCTTGGCGCGAGTTTTTTTAAAAAAAACATTTTTTAAAAATTTTTTAAAGACAAACAAAACATAAGACATAAAAGCATAAAACCTCCTTTCTAAAAGTTACTTATAGGTTTTAACAAGGCAAATAAGCACATATATATCTTTTCCAAATTTCTCATTATTTCTCCCTTCACTTTTATTCAATTATATTTCTTTCTATCAAGGTTTTATTAATTCTCAATCAAATATAAACACACAAAATGCAAAACATAAAACATAAAACTTCTAACAAACAAAACATAAGACATAGAAACATAAAACCCCCTTTCTAAAAGCTGCTTATAGATTTTAACAAAGCAAATAAAACATTATTTTGTACAGCGTAGTTCCAAATTATCACATTTCCATTTAAACACATATATATCTTTTCCAAATTTCTCATTGTTTCTCCCTTTAGTTTTATTCCTCAAGGTTTTATTAATCAAACATAGCTAACCAAAACACAAAACATAAAACATAAAACTTCTTTTTGGAAAGTGGCTTAGCCCTGGGTTACATCTTTTTTTACAAACCTAAATCAAATTCATGCTCACCTTATATACCATTCTTGTCTTATTTACCATTCTATATTTTCTATATAACTTCTCCCTTCTTTTCACTCTCTTAATTATATTTTGTTTATTTCATCGTATTTTAAAATCATTATACTTGTATCTTTTGTCTGTTCTTTTCCAATTATCTATTTATCTCTTCTCTTTAACAGAAAATTTCCCCTGTAATCACTTTTAAAGTGTGACGCCTTTCTACCTTGGTTTTGAACTGGGTACGGCAGGGGTGGCCGGACAAGTTGGAGGGGGAGCAATTCAAACCATTCAAAGACAGACAATTGGAACTATCGGCATTAAGGGAGTGTTTGTTGTGGGGAGAAAGAGTGGTGGTACCGAATCCATTATGGGAAAGAATCTTGGGATTATTGCATGAGGGGCAGCCAGGGATAGTGAAGATGAAGGCCCTAGCGAGGAGTTACATCTGATGTCCGGGCATAGACAAAACATTGAAACTTGGGTCACCACATGTTCACCATGCCAGGTATCCCGACCGGCCCCTCCCGCAGCAGCACCCCTTAAGTGGGAAAAGCCCACAAAACCACTGGGGCACATACACATAGACTTTGCTGGACCCTACCAGGGACAAATGTTCCTAATTGTGGTCGATGCCTACTCTAAATGGTTGGAGGTAGTCATTCTGAAATCCATGACAACCGAGGCAACAATCAAAGCCTTGCAGAAAATATTTGCTACCCACGGGTTACCCGACGTGCTGGTTTCGGACAATGGCCCGCAACTCACAGCACAACAATTCGAAAGCTTCCTTGCCCATTTAGGGATCCAACATGCCCTATCGGCGCCTGCTCATCCGGCGGCAAATGGTCAAGTGGAGAGGATGATTCGAAAAACCAAGGAACTCCTAACAAAATTAGGCCCTGGCGATTGGCAGGAAAAAATTGGCAAATTATTACTAACCCAACACATAATGCCAAGTGCAGCAACAAACAGGAATCCAGCAGAAATGCTGATGAATAGAAAATTACGAACCATCCTGGACAGAATTCATCCAGATTATACTAATGAAACCCCTTTAGACCCCACAGGGAAGTGCAGAACATTCACGCCAGGTGACACAGTATATGCACGTAACTATATGGGAGGCGAGACCTGGGTCCCAGCAAAAATAGTCAAGATTACCGGACCCAGATCATACAGACTGGAAGTAGAAGGGGGAAAAACATGGAACAGGCACATAGACCAACTACGGGGCCACACGGTTAAACCTACACATGAAACCGAACAACGAAACACACACCCAACGACAACAACAAGTTTAGCAAGAACAGCCCCAAACAGAATAGAGGAGGCCTTGGCTTTAGGAGGAGGAGTTCTGCGTAGTACGTCTGAGGCCTCTAGCTCAATAGAAACTGCCACGCCTCCGGAAACATTCCAGGCGTTTCCAAAGGCAGAGTCTGGAGCAGTGGTGGACCTGTCCATTCAGGCCGCCACCTCAGGAACAACTGAACAACACAGGCCCAAATGCAACCACAAAAACCCCACCTACCTGAAAGACTACGTTTGCGGAGATTGGTTGGATTGAACTAAGAAGGGAGGGGTGTTAAATATGCAAGACGCTACATCTACATAAACCAAGTCAGATGCAAAGTCTGAACCACATACAAAGAAACCACTTACTGGTTTCAGCCACTAGCAGGAATATCGGAGATCCTTCAGTGCCTGAAGTATTGGAAAGTGCCAACTATAAAAAAGCCAGCACTGGCCGCGATTGTTGCTTTTTGAATCCGCTTGTAAATAAAGAGTTCTTTACAATTCTGGGTCCGTTCCTTTCTTGCCACACATAATCAATACAAAGACTTAAAACTGTAGAGAGGATAATAGATTTTAGGAGAAGCTCTCTTATTCTATCATCTTTTACATATTAGACAACACGGTATCAACAGTAGAGATCTTCAAGTTTCTGGATTCTATAATCTGCTAGGAGTTAAAATGGACACTTAACATTACAACCATCATTAAAAAGGCACATATGTTCTTCCTGCACCAATTTGGAAATTTCAGACTGCCCAAGGATCTGCTGATACAGTTCTACAGAGGAATTATTGAGTCTGTCATTTGTATCTCTATAGGAGTGATGGCTAACCTTTTTGTCCTCGCGTGCTGAAAGTGTGTGCGCATGCACGCATACCAGCACCCATAGTACAATGTGCGCATGACTGCCTCGCCCCTGTGCATGTTTGCATGCCTCCCCAAGCACACACCATGCGTCTCTGCGCATGCGATCCCCGCACACACTGCATTTTTGTGCGTGCACATGCATCTCCTGCATGCCCCTCCCACACATGCGCAGTGGACCTGCTCCAGGGTGACAACTCGCGTGCTGGCAGAAATGGCTCTGCATGTCACTTCCAGGATGCGTGCCGTAGGTTCACCATCATGGCTCTATAGCTATCTGCCTTGGCACAGCAACCAAACAGGTATAGATTTCAACTGATAGTTAGAATTGCAGAAAAGAAAAAAAATTGCAACCAACCTGCCTTCCATTGAGGACCTATATACTGTACAATCCAGAAAGAGGTCTGAGGAAATATCTCCAGACCCCACACATCTTAGACATAAACTGTTTCAACTTCTCCCCTAGGCATGCCACCATGGGGCATTGTATATCAAAACAACTAGACAGAAAGATAGTTTCTTCCCACATGCATCATTCTGCTGAACACCTAACTCCCACAGTACTGTCTTATGACTAAAGATAAGTAGGCTGTATTGCTATTATCCTTGTCATCTTCTCTTTTTCACTTTCTCATCTTTCCTACTACCTTTTCCTTTTGATTTCTTATGATTTATCACTTGTTCATTGTATTTTATGATTATGATTGCATCTTATGATTTACAACATCACTTTGTTGTTTGTATGTATCCTGAGAGCATATCCACTGGAGAGAGGTTTTTTTGTATGTCTAATCACACTTAGCCAATGAAGAATTCTATTCTACTCCTCACTAGCACTGAAACATCTGCAAGAAAAGAATCAAGTTTAGAGAACACCAAGGACACTCATTTCAACCCTGAGCTACAAAAATTCTCCTTTATTGGTACCCTAATTGACTTTCTACAATCAATAGCTACAGTATACAAACTAGCTGTAATTTCTAGCCTCCCAGACGAACTCTGCCTACCACATAGCAACCTCCTCATGTTCTTAATCAACTCTTTGGGATCTATCTATTGGTATCTACTGTTTTCAATAGAAAGGAGGAGAAAGTAAGCCCTGAAACCAGCATTCAGCTAGTGTGACAAGACTGAAATACTATTGGGTATTGGTTTCTGCCTTTCAGTGTAGGGCACAGATCCAAGAAATCTCTCTGACGCTGCTAAAGGTGGTAATAAAGCAGAGTGAGATCTACCGGGTCTCCATTTATCAGATGTAAGGCAATGGGGATGCATGTCTTCTGTCACTTCAGAATCTGAAATAAAGAGAAGGATTTATTTTATATCGTGTGAAGTTTTGCTGGACAAGCATCTGAGTCAGCTTCTGACTCTAGACCATCATTCCTTGCTTCAGGCCACTCAAATGGCTTCTGAAATGTGGACACTCTATGCAGTATTTCTTTCTTGGTAGTACAAGCCAGCTGGCCACTGCTTGTAGATGTCACGATTTCTCTTACATACCTGCTTTTGTCTGACTACTAGAGGTCTAGATCTTCCCTCAGAAATGGTGAGGTGGATCCCTGCACAGCTCTGATAGAAGCATTACTGGGTACTTATCTATTGGTGGAAGATTAAAGTAACGTTTTGTTTTTTATTATAGGTTGGATGAAAACTATAAAATGCTGAGTGTAAAAAGGATGGATGTGGACCACACGGCTAGCGTCTCCGATGCAAATACTGGTTATTCATGCTTGCTTGTTTGATCTATTTTATTTCCATTCAGAAAATGGTTGGGAAGAGTTGCATTTTAATATACTTCAAGTGAAGATCTGAAGAACTTTTTTCAACAACTACGGTATAATCTGAACTGAGGACTTTTCTCTTTTTCCAAGTGAAAAATGCCAAGCTAGAAAGTTAAAAGGTAGCATGCAAATCTGTTCATGGAAATGTGAATAACAAAGCATAACTATTTTTATATTTTGTGACATATTTTATCCTCTGCTGTCTGAATAAGGGAAGGAAACATTGATTGAATAATTGACCATTTGATTAGGTGCTACCTAGTCCATGTTGTTTCCTAGGGGCCATATAGATTAGAGCTATTCTGTTTTCAATAGAAGAAAATATTTGTAAATCAGGATTGAACCATGGAGTCTTTGTGCTTGTGATCTTGGTTGTTTTCTTGCAAATGTTTCAGCTTCTAGTACTGAAGATGTTAGCTAGTTGGGTAATGAAACATCTGCAAGAAAACAACCAAGTTCAAAGAGCTGCAAGGACTCCACTCTTCTGTTTTCTATGATTTACGATGCAGCCATGGAGACATTTAACACTCACAAGAATTTATTGGAATTTGTAAAATGAGGAACTATAAATAATTGTGTGTATGGATATGGATATGGATATATATTCATAAATATATAAATAAATACAAAAATAAAATTTGGTGGGTTTTTTCATATTATTACTGTAAAATTGTCCTATCTGTGTTGTAATGTACAGTTCTGAACAATAACATAACAGGTTTTATTTTAGGGAACTATAGAAAGAGACTTATGATCCAGCTTTGAAAGTTAGTGTTATCATTGCTGTGCTTGAGTATCAATCTCTCTCAATCTCTCTCTCTTTTTTGTTCTCTGCAAACTCACTCATCCATCAGGTTTCATAGCAGTTGTATTTCTTGTTTTTGCGGTTTACTACAATGTTATTTTATTTCTATTTCTATGGTTTTATTTTCAGGAGAGGATGAGATGACATCATCCTGCACTCATCCTCAGACTCTACTGCCAGTACCACTTCCTGCTCCAAGATGAAAAAAAGGCCTTTCTGGCTTCTTCCAACTCCAGCAGTACATGCCACTTTGCCTACAGATACAGATACAGATAATCAGAGTTGGAAGGGACCTTGTAGGTCTTCTAGTCCAACCCCCTGCCCAAGTGGGAGACCCTACACCATTTCTGACAAATAGCAGTCCAATCTCTTCTTGAAAGTCTCAAGTGATGGCTCTCCCACAACTTCCGAGGGCAAGCTGTTCCATTGGTTGATTGTTCTCACTGTCAGAAAGTTTCTCCTTGTTTCCAGGTTGAATCTCTCCTTGTTCAGTTTCCATCCATTATTCCTTGTCTGGCCTACAGGCGCTTTAGAAAATAGCTTGACCCCTTCCTCTCTGTGGCAGCCCCTCAAGAAAAGCCTGTTCTGCTTTTCTTCCATCTGGGTAACTCCTGCCCTCTGTCGCTACTAAATGCAGTGACAGTTCATTTTCCTGCATTCCCCCTGGGGGCAAAAGACCCTCTTGCACATGCCATGAGCTAACTGGATATTTTCTGGATCATGAATATGTACATATGTTACACATGCTCCCAGGTTCCGCTATGCTCCCTAACTCATATACACACCACTTGTTGAGGCATCTATACCTTGCAGCCCTCCCTGCTTTCTATCTGCGTTTCCCATATAAGTGCTACTGCAGGATATTAGATAGCCCTGCACACTAGCCCAGTAATAATTAGCAACACACTCAAATCACTTTCAACCAAACAGTAAATATATCAATACGGACAGCAAAATTGTACTGGTTACCATATATATTCTCTCTCCTCTCTCTCTCTCTCTCTCTTCTCCCCCCCCCCCCCCCCCCCCCCCCCCCCCCCCCCCCGTCACCCGAACACAGAAATACATTCATGCCCATTCACATCCTCAACTAGTTGGGATCAAAAATTACTCAAAGAGTAGAGAGGCTGTAGATCCCCCTTTCTCTCCCAAAGTCCTTTTGTTGATTCACCAGGGAATTCTTTGAAATATGTTGTTTGACTCTTGATTCTTAATCTACCTCCCAAAGACATTTCTCTTTTTTTGACAAGGTTTGTTCTTTTGTCCTCTCTGCCTATATGCCTGATCCATTTTAGTGAACACTTAATTTTAGCCGACTAACAAACTTAATAATCATGAATTTGTTTTAATCAGAGCTACTCTATTTTAATCACCTTGTCTATACTTTTGCTTAATATAAGGATCAGCAGTTAAGTCATACATGCCATGACACTCTTTGGAAGAAGCCAAAGAAGCTGACTGCAAATGCTATTTGTTAGAGGAAGTTATAGGAAGGGTTAGTCTAGCTGACTAATTGTGAATTGTGAATGCTGAAGAATTTTGCAAGTGGGGCCCATTAATGGAACAAGAAAAGATAGTTTGGCATTTTGCTTAAGCTGGGCTCAAGAATACCTGGGCAAATATCCAGAGGTAAAAAGTTTGTCATTAGGATCTATTATGGGAAGTTAACCTAAACTTTTCATGTCACCAATAAAAAAGAAACAAGTAATGAAATATCTCAAATACTTTGTCCACCTAATGAGAAGGAAGGACTCACTGGAGAAGAGCCTAATGCTGGGAACGGTTGAGGGCAAAAGAAGAATGGGATAGCAGAGAATGAGGTGGCTGGATGGAGTCACTGAAGCAGTAGGTGTGAGCTTAAATGGACTCCGGAGGATGATAGAGGACAGGAAGACCTGGAGGAACGTTGTCCATGGGGTTGTGATGGGTCAGACACGACTTCGCAACTAACAACAATGAAATATCAGGAATTTTTTATGAGTATATGTAGTTTCTGGAGAAATAGTTTGTTGAATATCAGCAGGCATGCTTGATTTGGACATGGATCTAAAGTGTCCATCTTTAGTTCTGTACAGAGATAAAGGATTGAACCAGAGGTGGTATTCAGCAGGTTCTGACTAGTTCTGGAGAACTGGTAGCAAAAATTTTGAGTAGTTTGGAGAACTGGCAAATATCACCTCTGACTGGAGATTTTACAGTATCCTTCCCCTGCCACACCCACCAAGCCACGCCCACAGAAAACAAGTTGAATCCCACCACTGGATTGAATCCCAGTTTCCTCTCTCAGCATGATTATCGGCTCGAATTGCACTGAATAAAAATGACCTAGTATTGGGTTGAGTCAATATTAGATTATGGCAACCTGGGCCTAATCTCACACGTAGAAAGATATTTTTTCTAAATATTTTTATACGTGAGAGATTTGGTTTGCAAAATATAAACTCAAGAAGCAGATTTTAGATTAAGGAGACTCCTGTTAGGAATATGAGTCACCTAACACCTATTTGGGTTAGAAATATATAAACCAGGATAATCATTTTAAAACTGTATCTTTAAGAAAATGCAAAACTGTAATTAGGTGTGGTTTCTCAAACGGCCATAAGATGGAGCCAGAAACCTGGGTTGTTTAGTCTGAGTCTCAGAAGAGAGTGTATCTCTGTTTCCTTCTGTTGGAAAGTATTGCCATTCCTCCATTTTTCCTAATTGACTGCTATTTCTGGATTTGATGTAAGTCTGATACTGAACTGTTTTTGACACTGGACTTTGCTACTGCATTATCCCTGGATTGAAAACTGACTGATTTAACCTGTGAATGATTTTTGGACTGCTTATTTTGGACTTTGCTTAAACCTTTATTGAAAGTAAAGCCCTACATTTACTGTACAGTGTATCTGTGTGCTGTGTGTGTATTATTCAAACACTACTCTCAAATACGTCTCCCTGTATGCACTCATTCTCCTAACGGGGAATTACCTCAACAACTCCCCCCTCTTTCTGAGTCAGAACATCTTCAAAAGGTCATAGATAACATTGAAATGCATAACTTCATTCACTTAAGCTTCCTTTTTTTTTTTTTTTTTTTTTTTTTTTTTTTTTTTTTGCTGCTTGGTTTTGGTTTGTAAAAGGAGAGCAGCAGCATTCTCAAAATCTGAATAAAACATTCAGATACTATTAGCGGCCTTCTAACTTCTAGGCTTAGTAATGATAGTTCACTTCCTCTTGGTTTTTTAAATGAAGAGGAAAAAGGCAAGAGACATCAAAGAGAATATTGATATGGAGAACCCATTCTAGCACTGAAGCATAATTCTTAGGGTGGATGAAAAATATCACACAAAAACTAGAAAATACATTCCATTATGGGGAGAGAGAATTTGTAATTACTTATCTAAAACACAAGATAGTCATTTTGTAAAATATTGCTTTGAAACATACTACAGGTAGTCCTCAACTTACAACTGTTGGAGCTTCTCTATAGTCAACTGATCAAAATTCAGGCCCTTGGCAATCAGCATGAGTTTACAATTGCATTTTCCCAGCTGGCTTCCAACAAGCAAAGTTGCTGGAAGAAGCTGGATTCGCTTACTAATCATGTGATTTACTTAACAACTTCAATGATTCATTTAATAATTATGGCAAAAGTATTATAAACTTAGTCAAGACTCACTTAAGAACTATCTTACTCAGCAACGGAAATTATGTCAGGAGAAAAACCTAATTATTGAGCATAGCTGCACTTAATAAAAATTGAACAGACGGCACACCACAAAAGTCTCACTTTAGGATTCAGAGGTTTATTAGAATTTAAAGCATAGCAAACATAAAGCCTTTGCTTGCAATGAGGGTCAGTCGGACAAGCAGTCAGAAGGGATGGCTTGAGGCATTCAGGGATGGGCTGCAACTGGTTCGCACCGGTTCAGGTGAACTGGTATCTAATTTTATCATTTTTAATGACCGGTTCAGTGAACCAGTAAATCTCACCCCTGGCTGGCCTCGCCCACACTGCCCCATACTGTCTCAGGAGTCTCCATTGCAGCCCATTTTGGTAAGTGCAGGTCCTGCATGGAGGCTCGATGAGGGCGAAAAATGGGCCTCCCTCACCCAGAGGCTCCAGAAGGCCAGAAACAGGCCTTCAGAGTCCGGGAAGGCCATTTTTGCCCTCAGAGGCTCAAAGAAAGCTTCTGGAGCCCAGGGAAGCTTCTGGAGCCCAGGAATGCCCACCCTGCTGTGGTGCAGGAAGCTGACTAGGACACGCCCACCATGGCCATGCTCACCCAGCAACCAGGCAGAGAACCGGTTGCTGAAATTTTTGAAGCCCACCCCTGCTCCCATTATTCAACTTTGTCTTTTATACCTTAAAACCACAAATCATATGACTTTTGGAATCTGTCCATACTCTCATAGCAACAGGGGTAGTTTTCCATTCCTTTAATCTTGATGTTACAACATGGTTATTTCTACATGTACTTTAAGCATATACTTCCTCTTTTCCCGCAGCCTCAGCTCCCCTCATTTCGGCAAATAGGGAACTAAGGTGTCCATGTCAGCTATGGTATCATTTCATCAGATGCCCATGCTGATTAAATTTTTTCCTTTATACTTGCATCAGGCAATTAATCTCAATAATGAACCCATCTCACCCGCTCCAAACTATACTGTGCTAGAATGGGTCCCCATTATTCTCCCCTTACAATTCTCATCCCAATTGTGGCCATAAATTGAGGACTACCATACCAAATTATTTTATGTGTGCAACTCATATATAGAATTGATGAGGTTGAGAAGTTATGGCCAACATTGCATAGTGGTAGTCTGTATTCACATACTATTATATTTTTCTTCATTTCATAGAGAATGCGAGCATCATCCATCAGAAAATCTTGTAATTCCATCAGCATTATTGCAAGTCTAAAAAATCTTTTAATTATTTTATTGTGGACTACCAACTTGGTCTCAGACAGATCTTACTTGTACGTAACAAGCTAAAATATGCATGGGGATTTATGGATTCTTGGTACTCAACTGTAAAGATAATGTTTATTTTGACTAAAAATGCATCTGATTCACAATGTGTCTAAATGTGTTTGGCTGTTAAGATAGATGCTATACATTGTCTGTTCTTCCTTAAGACTGACTTGGGAGCGTGATTGTTGGGGAAGTTGGGGTGAAGTGGGTAGGGAGGAGAATGAAACAAAACTAAATAGTCCAAGCTCAAAATGGTCATGCAGGGTGCTGCTCCTTTGACTATTAAAAGATAAAGAAGTGCTGAAGCTCTTTGTTCCTGGATAGCAAGAATGGGGCTTTTCTTGAGCGAGTTCAATAGTGTTGAGGATTAGATAACTACGGAGTTAATGAAAAATGTGTAGCCTTAAACCATAAGGAAAAAGCCTCCCCTGGAATTACAGGGAAGTTGTCTTCTTTTATCCATGAAGTATCCAAAATTCTTTATGGATAAGGGAATACTTACTGGAGGAGAAAGTACTGGATATTTATTGTAGATTTATGCTTGGAATAGATCTAAGAAGAAAATCTACAAAACTTATTTTGAGACACCACAATCTGACCCAAGAACTACTTTAAAGACTCTATGCTGGGATTTTCTCACCA